TGCAGAGAGCGTGCAGAGAGCAGTGCAGAGAGCATGCAGAGAGGAGTGCAGAGAGTAGTGCAGAGAGCGTGCAGAGAGCGTGCAGAGAGCGTGCAGAGAGCAGTGCAGCGAGCGTGCAGAGAGCAGTGCAGAGAGCAGTGCAGAGAGCAGTGCAGCGAGCATGCAGAGAGCAGTGCAGAGAGCGTGCAGAGAGCGTGCAGAGAGCAGTGCAGTGAGCGTGCAGAGAGCAGTGCAGAGAGCAGTGCAGAGAGCAGTGCAGCGAGCATGCAGAGAGCGTGCAGAGAGCGTGCAGAGAGCGTGCAGAGAGCAGTGCAGAGAGCAGTGTAGAATGTACAGCGGGGGCTGCTGAGTGCCTGACACCATTGTGCTAATCCGCTTCACAGACAGCCTTGCTAGCATGGGGAGTAGCTCACTCCTAACTGGGAAGTGAGGGAGTGAGCCCTGCAATCTGGCTGGCCTGCTCCCCAAGTGCCGGCATGACAGTGGGACCAGGCCCCATGTTCCACCATCTTGTCATTAGGGGAGAGATATCCCAGTAGTCAAGGCCTGAACCCAGACAGCTGTGGCCCCCGTTCTTTGTCAAATGCTTACCTATCTTTTTTTTTGGGGGGGGCAGAGGTTTTATTTGGTTTGTTTTTTGGTTTTGTTTTTCGTTTTTGTTTTGTTTTGTTTTGCTATAGGGTGCATGCACTCACCAGAAAGACAGAGAGACAGAGAGACAGAAAGTGAGAAATCACCCCCCAGGGGGGATAGCCATGCTGCAATCCCTTCTCCTCCATTCTCCTCTCGGGATCCTGGGCACACACACACACGCACCCGGCATGAGTTTAAGCCACTGGGTCCAGGACTCGAACCACAGTTGATCACATTGGAGTCCAGCGATGTAGCCATTCCGCCATCTGATGGTCCCTATCTTTTTTATTTTTGAGAGAGATTTTTGTTATAGGATGTGTGGGTTCACTGGAAAGACACACAGAGAGAGAGAGAGAGAGAAGTCACCCTCCAGGGGTGATTCCAGTCATGCCACAATCCCTTCTTCTCCATTCTCCTCTCAGGATTTTGGGCACACTTGCACATGTGCCCAGCATGAGTTTCAAGTTGCCAGGTCTGGGACTCAAACTGCAGTCGACCATGTGGGCGTCCAGCACCTTAACCACTGCACCACCTGCCGGCCCCAATGCTTACCTATCTTGACTCGGATATCTAGGCCTTCTTCTGACTCCTTGGTCTCAAATAGCTCATGGATCTCCAGGCTGCATTTAATTATCACTAAGATCATGTCTTTGAGCTGCTTCCGCTCCACCTTCCACAGGGCCAGCAGGCTGTCACCTTCAAGAGAGACATCCTGCCCATGTAATCTGCAGATTCCTACTTTCAGGCCCCCCACCGTCCTGCTCCTGGCCACTCCCCTCCCCGAGAGGCCTCCCCACCGTTGGCCCTCCCATTGCAAAAGCTTCCATACCTGCAAACTTTAGGATGTCTCCTCCAAAAACCAACACTTCTGAGAAAAGAAAGCAAGCAAATAAAATCAAACTCTGGTTTTTTAAAATTTATTTTCTTTTATTTATTATTGTTATTATTCTTATTATTTATTTTATTTGCTACAAGGCGCACATGCTAATGAGAGAGAGAGAAAACAAACCACCAAATCCGGGATTCAAACCACGGTTGGCCACGTGGGAGTCTAGTACCTTAACCACCAGGGCACCTGCTGACCTCCAAACTTTGATTCTTTAGAGCGTAGCAAAAAGAATTCACTTCTCATGGGTAGAACGGAACAGTGATTTGGAGAACAGACTTAGACAAACCATGCCACTTATCCCGCAGGGTCTCTCCTCAGTGTAGAATGAGGTGCTGGGCCAGGCTCTGACAGGCTCCATTTCCGCGAATGGAGAAAGCTAGGAGGGGAGGGCAGGGTTTGCGCTGAGGCCCGAGGCCAGCCGCAGTCCTCCCGTGAGATGGGGCGCGTGGAACTGCTAACGGGACAGCCTGTGCTCAGGCTGGAGTGTGCTGAGCGCCGGTGGCAGAGAGGTGCCGGGTTCCACAGGACCTGGACACCAGGGAACGGGGAAGTGGAGCCACAGCCACCGTGGGCGTGCTCACTACCTACCCGCATTTGTTCTACTTTGCGGCACAAACAGACCTTCATTCTCCTAGTTAGCACACATTTGTGGAGTACCGGTGGTGCTTCATGGGGTGTAAAAGGAATCAAGACTTAGTTTCCGCTTTTCTTTTTATTTATTCATTTCTTCCATGAGAGAGGCAGAGACAGAGGGACAGACGATCTTCATGCCACAACTACCCCAGCCCCAGCCAGCCAGCACCCTGGCGTGCGTGTGCATCCAGCACATATAGGGAGGCCCTGGGAAGCGAGCCGGGGACCACCCATCATAGAGCGCTGCACTGCGGCTGCGTCAGGAGCTGGCCATGGGTGCTGCTCTTAGGGTGCATCACACACTGCCTAGGGGGGAACAGTGAGACTGGGGAACGGACAGGCTGGGAAGCAGGCCTAGAGTTCGCAGTAACTGAGCAAATCCTTTCTTTGTGAATAGTTCAGATTAATAACGCAGGGAGAGGGCGAAAAGTCAACTCTAAGTGCTTCAGAAGCCACCTTGGAAGACAGGTTATGGGACCGGCAGTTGGCATAATGGCTATGTCATTGGACTCCTATGTGGTCAACTGTGGTTCGAGTCGGACCTGGTGGCTTAAACTCACTCCGGGCGGGTGTGCATGCGTGCCCAAGATCCCGAGAGGAGAATGGAGGAGAAGGGATTGTGGCGTGGCCATCCCCCTTGGGGGGTGATTTCTCGCTTTCTGTCTCTCTCTGTCTCTTTCTGGCACACACACACACCCTACAGCAAACAAACAAACAAACAAACAAACAAAAAAAAACCTCTCCAAAAAAATTTGAATTCAGAGAGTGTAAGTTGAAGTGTCACAACTATGATTTTTTTTCCCCCAAATCTGTCATTGAGCCTTTACGTTAATGGAATCCCTCCTTTCCCCCCAAGTGGCCCGTGCGGAGCTGATGACACCCCGGTATTCTACGCCGTCCTCAGGAAGCCCTGGGCTGGACAGCGCTCTCAGGAATGCAGCGTGCAGAGCCGCACAGAGAAGGCCGCGGGGCCGCCAGGGCGCAGGGGCACTTACTCTCCACGATGTCACTGAGGTAGCGGTTGAGGATCTCCACCAGCTGCTCGGCCCCCCGGTCCATGTACATGGCCGTGCTGAACTTCTCGGTCATGGCCGTGAAGCCTGCAACGAGGGCGCCGTTTCCCTGGCTGCTGGGCGAGTGGACGGAGCGGGCACCGAGTGGCCCTCGGGGACTCTGTGCCCGGCCCAGCAGCCCCCCGTGTGCCACTGTGGGGTCGCGGAGCTCCTCCTGGCTCACTCTCAACGGCGATGACCACAGCTCCTCAGCTGGGAACAGACAGCGTCCCGTGGTAGGGGACACACGCGTGCCACACCTCCCAAAGAGGGGCACGTTTACTATTTAAACGGAAACATCTCTGGAGAGACCGCGCCTGCGGTCACCTCTGCTGGGAGATGGCGGTGTGGGTGGGCGGTGACATCCGGGCCGGGACACTGGGTATCTCAAAGATGAGCCTGGGGGAGCTGGGGAGAGCAGACGGCACCGCCCGCTGCGCGGTGACCCACTCCTGTGCCCTCCCCCGCAGCTGGGCCGTGGCGCCCCCACCGGCAGCCCAGCTCTGCGGGAGGATTCGGGCGCGAGCCTGCCACTCCCCGCAGGAGACGGTCGCCCGCGCTTGCCTGAAATATCCACGAACATCAGGACCCCATCGAAGTAGTTCACGCAGGGCCGGGCTTTGGCGAAGTCGCCGTAGACGATGAGGTCGGGTAAGTGGGCGGCCACCCTGATGATGGCCGGGTCCTGCACCTCGTTGCCGCAGGGGTTCATGGTCGACGCGCGGCCCGGGGTTTGGCGGCCACGGGAAGCAGTTCCCGCTAGGTCTTCTAGGAGGAAGAGTTGGGGACAGAGGAGGCCGGGCACGCCCGCTGCTGCTTTTCCGTTCGCTCCGTTTTGACTGGGGAGCTGCTATGTCAGTGGCCGCGTGGGGATAATGCCGGGTTGCCGAGTCACGCGGCAAGCGGCCAATTTTCTCTCTCTAATTGCCAGGGGGACAGGGAGAAGGAGAGGGAGGAAGCGCCCTCTCCCCCACTGGGGCTGCTCAAGCTGCAATCTCTTCCCCAGTTCTCCGTCCTGCTGGGATCTGGGGCACACATACACATGCACCCAGCGTGGTTTTCATGCCGCAGGATCAGGATTCGGAACACCACTGGTCATGGAGAATCTGGCTGCCTTACCTACTAGGCCATGGGGCTGGCCCAAAAACAATTGATGCAAAGGAGGACCCTCCAGGCTGGCCCTGGCCTTGCACAGCCCGGACCTAGAGCAGTCACACACAGCAAGGGTGGGTGGGCGGGGCTGGAGGTCCTCGCGAGGTCCTCGCTCCGCCCAGGCTGCTCCTGGCAGGGCCGCCAGCAGCGCTGACCACTGGGTCCAGACCCCTCTCCCTCTGTCCTCACCTTCCTTCCCCCTCCCCCTACCTCCCGGCCTCTAATCTTTTCTTCCTCCCCCTCACCAAGTTTGCTGGAGGGTGCATATGTTTGAGACAGAGACAGAGAGGGAGAGAACACCCTCCTTTTGGAGAAAGAAGTTGTAGATGTCAGCTCTGTGTACATATGTAAATGTGGGTGAGCATTAGAGTAATATTCACGCAGGCAAGAGACTATGGGTATATATATATATACATTTTTTTTGGAGAGATTTTTGCTATAGGGCGTGTGCACTCACCAGAAAGAGAGCAAGAGAGAGACAGACATAAAGCGAGAAATAACCCCCCAGGGGGGATGGTCACGCCGCAATCCCTTCTCCTCCATTCTCCTCTTGGGATCTTGGGCACGCACGCACACGCGCCTGGCGTGAGTTTAAGCCACCGGGTCCAGGCCTCAAACTCCGGTCAACTACATTGGAGTCCAGCGACATAGCCATTATGCCAACTGCTGGTCCCGAGACTGGGAGTATATGAGGTATGCTAAGATATATAGAGGGCAAGAGGTCAAAAGTTCACCCGCATGTGTGTGTGAGAGGCAGAGAGTGACAGGCTGGAAAGGTGGAGCCTTAAGCTCTAAGGGGACAAAATGTTGCAGTTCCATTTCGCTGCCCACTGAGTTCCGAGGAAGCCAAGCTTCCCGAAGGCCTCCTTGGCGACGGGGCCGATGAAAGGCCCGCACCCAAATCTTGTGGAAATCACGCTCAACCAGCCTGCATGGTGGCGGCAGCCCTAACCTTTCCAGGGCAATTCAAGTTCCTGGAACTGAAGGTACAGAACAGAATTTAGAATTTAGAAGGGAGGGGGTAGCTGATGTTTTTGGTTTAATTCTGGCCAGCAGGGGGAGCCGGATAGTGATTTCAACCAGACATAGGTCATATGGGGATACGTAAGAGGGGAAAAGGAGGCAACCACAAATATTTCTTAGACTCAAGACTTTTTTTTTTCTTTTAAGATTTTTGCCATAGGTTATATGTGTTTAAGAGAGACAGAGAGAGGGAAAGTGAGGAATCACCCCCTAGGGGGATGGCCACACCGCAGTCCCTTCTCCTCTTAGGATCTGAGGCATGCACACACACGTTCCTGGCATGATTCTGAGGCCTTCAGTTCTGGATCCCATGTGTGATCCAGCTGCCTTAACCAGCACGCCACGAGCTGGCCCTTAAAAAAAAATTACTTTAAAAGAAAATGCTTTCTTGGGACCAGCAGTTAGAGTAATGGCTATGTCACTGGACTCCCAGACCCAGTGGCTTAAAACTCATGCTGGGCATGTGTGTGCGTGCCCAAGATCCTGAGAGGAGAATGGAGGAGAAGGGACTGTGGCATGGTCATCCCCCCTGGGGGGTGATTTCTTGCTTTCTACCTCTCTGTCTCTCTCTGTCTCGCGAGTGCATGCACCCTATAGAAAAAAAAGAAAAAAAGAAAATGCTTTCTTTAAATAAACAAAAAGCTCTCTTGGGACCAGCAGGTGGTGCAGTGGTTGAAGTGTTAGACTCCCACATGGCTGTCTGCGGTACAAGTCCTGGACCTGGTGGCTGGAAACTCATGCCAGGCGTGTGTGCGTGCATGCCCCAAACCCCGAGAGAATAGAAGAGAAGGGATTGCTGTGTGGCCATCCTCCCTGGGGGTGGTTTCTCACTCTCCCTCTCTCTCTGTCTCTCTCCTGTGAGCACACACACTGTATACAAAAAATCTAAAGCCAGGGAAGGCAGTATATTTAACAAGAAAACGTTGGGGTGTACAGAAATCCCTGGTAGTGAGGACTAAGTATCAGCTCCTAGGACAGGTCCTGGTAAAGTCGGCGTGGGGTGCAGAGGACTCGCATCCCCCGGCTGCCATGCAGCGCCAGTGGGCCAGTGGGCCAGTGGGCCAGTGGCGTCACAGTGTGGCACCAGTCCTGGAGACCGAGGAGGGGGAAGAGCCGCGGCTCGGCCTGTTCTCTTTGGAGGTTCGGAAGTGGGGGACGCATAGACTTCGATACACAGGTGCTAAGCTGGGTAGCAGTCTAGCTAATCCAGGTTAGGGTGTAACAGATAACTCCCAGGCCTCGATGGCTCCCAGAACCCAAGGCCTGTCTGGCTCCTGTGCCCACTGCACCCCACCATGGGGAGGCTAGCGCCCTCTGCTGTTGCCTTCGCTCTGGGACCCGTGCAGGGACATTCCAGCCGCCCATGCCGTGAACCTGTGCTCCTCCCATGGTGACTGCCTCACTTCTCAGGACACACAGAACCTCGAGGAGGGGGTGGAAGAGTCGGGACTCCGGAGAGTGGCCTCGGCAGTTCTCACACTTGGCGACATGGGCCCACTTAGACCGGCACAGGTAACTAAAAGGAGTCTGGGGGTTCCCAGTCAAGGGTGAGCTAACCTTTCTTTTCTGAAGGGTTATTAATCTTTTAAATCAAGGAAGTGTTATAGACAAGGTATATCCTGACTTTAACAAGGCATTTGACCAAATTTTCCTTACCTTTGGGGATAGGATATGAAATTGTAGGAATGATGAAAATATAGGTAACAGGGGACCAGCAGGTGGCATAGTGGTTAAGGTGCTGGACTCCTACATGGCTGACCACAGTTCAAGTCCTGGACCTCGCAGCTTGCTTTCTCTCTTTTCTCCTCTCTCTGTCTCTGGTGAGTTCACATGCCCTATAGCAAATTTAAAATATGAGACCAGCAGATAGTGTAATGGCTACGTCGCTGAACTCCCGTGTAGTTGATCACGGTTCGAATCCCGGACCTGGTGGCTTAAACTCATGCCGGGTGCATATGTGTGCGCCCAAGATCACAAGAGGAGAAGGGATTGGGAGGTGATTTTTCGTGCTCTCTCTCTGTCTCTCTGGCGAGCACACGTGCCCTATAACAAAAACCTCTCCAAAAAGAAAAAAAAAGGATAATTAATGTGTGCAATTTTGACTTGCCAATGTTACCGTAATAAAGATGGAGGAAGAGAAATAAAATTGAAAACGATTGGCTGGGTGAGTGCTGCTCCCGGGGAAGGACGTGCTCTGCTCCCACCCTTTCTCTGCAGGCCGTGCTGCAGCTACTGTTTGCCCAAGCCTGGAAACCTGGTGAGCAGAACTTGCCCACTGTCCTGGTGCAACTGGTCCTCTTGGCTGGGAACAAGAGGTCGTGCTGCGTGCACCTTTAATACTGAGGCGGGGTGGGGGGATTTAGCAGAGGGGAAAGGTGACCCAACATAGAATTGAAACCACCCCCCGCTACCGGTCAGAGGGGGGAGCCAGTGCCTCTGAAAACAGGAGACAGTGAAGGATGTATGCTGGCCTTGAAATAGAAGTTGAAGAAGCAATGAAAAGAATGCCTCGTTTTGGAACCATCTGGTGTAATGGTTATGTCGCTGGACTCCCACATAGTCAACAGTGGTTCGAATCTTGGATCAGGCAGATTAAAACTCACTACATATATATTAAGAAATGAGAAATGGAAAATTATTTGTTGACGATAACATGTATGATTAAGCCACTATACAGTGTATTCTGGATGGGAAATCGCATTTTGTATGTTGTAATAATGGTCAGTGAATGAATGTAAAATAAATAAATTAAAAAAAAAAAAAGTGATCTCGAGGTAATAGAGAAGAGGCAGCGAGAGGGCCAGCCTTGGTGGAGTGGTTGGTAGCATGCTGGGTTCAGATCCTTGGCACAGTTGGTTCAGAGACGTGTCAGGTATATGCGTGTCCAAGACTCTGATGAGCTAGGGGGCCGTGAGAAGACAGTCACAGCCTAGCGAGACCCTGTCAAGGGGATATTATATTTTCTCTTTCTCCTGTGTGCACACATGCTATCATGAATAAAATAAATGTTAAAAATAAATAAATAAACCAACTCATGCCATGCCCAAAAATCCCGAGAGGAGAATGGAGAAAAAGGATTGTGGCATAGCCATCCCCCTGGGGGGTGATTTCCCGCTTTTAGTCTCTCTGTCTGTCTCTGTCTCTCCACCAAGTACACATGCCCTATAGCAAAACTCTCTCTCTCAAAAAAAAAAAAAAAAGAATGCCTTATTTATCGAGACACACGAAGAAAAACAAGATACCGACTGAAAGGTGTAGTGAGAGACACAGGAAGGCACGCGAAGGACGGACGGCAGACTGGAGGAGTCCTCCAGGAGGCATGGCACAAGAGGGGAATCCCAGGAAGCAAGAGATACCGGCAAAGGAACTTCGCTCACTGGAAAAGAAAGGTGATAGTACAACATCAGGTGAGGAAAATAAGGAGAAAGAAGGAAGCAGGAGCCGGCAGTGGCATAGTGGTTAAAGCACTGGATTCCCACGTAGCCTACTGCAGTTTGAATCCCGGACGCAGTGTCTTGAAACTTGTGCCAGGTGTGCATGCCTAAAATTCCAAGAAGCGAATGGAGGAAAAGAGAGTGCCATGTGGCCATCCC